AGACAGACAGGTTAGAGAGAAAGACAGGCAGAGAGACAGACAGACAGGTTAGAAACAGACAGGTTAGAGACAGACAGGCAGAGAGACAGACAGACAGGTTAGAGACAGACAGGTTAGAGAGACAGACAGGTTAGAGAGACAGGTTAGAGACAGACAGGTTAAAGACAGACTGGTTAGAGACAGGTTAGAGACAGATAGACAGAGAGCCGGGTTAGAGAGCAACGTGTACTCAGTACTGCTGCTACTACTTGACACTAGTACTCAGTACTGCTTCTACTACTTGCCACGTGTACTCAGTACTGCTGCTACTACTTGCCACGTGTACATCTTGTAGTACTGCTGCTGCTACTTGCCACGTGTACTTGTTGTAGAACTGCTGCTGCTACTTGCCACGTGTACTTGTTGTAGTACTGCTGCTGCTACTTGCCACGTGTACTTGTTGTAGTACTGCTGCTGCTACTTGCCACGTGTACTTGTTGTAGTACTGCTGCTGCTACTTGCCACGTGTACTTGTTGTAGTACTGCTGCTGCTACTTGCCACGTGTACTTGTTGTAGTACTGCTGCTACTACTTGCCACGTGTACTTGTTGTAGTACTGCTGCTACTACTTGCCACATGTACTCAGTACTGCTGCTACTTCTTGCCAGGTGTACTTGTTGTAGTACTGCTGCTACTACTTGCCACGTGTACTTGTTGTAGTACTGCTGCTGCTACTTGCCACGTGTACTTGTTGTAGTACTGCTGCTGCTTCTTGCCACATGTACTCAGTACTGCTGCTACTACTTGCCACGTGTACTTGTTGTAGTACTGCTGCTACTACTTGCCACGTGTACTAGTTGTAGTACTGCTGCTACTACTTGCCACGTGTACTTGTTGTAGTACTGCTGCTGCTACTTGCCACGTGTACTTGTTGTAGTACTGCTGCTACTACTTGCCATGTGTACTTGTTGTAGTACTGCTGCTGCTACTTGCCACGTGTACTCAGTACTGCTGCTGCTACTTGCCACGTGTACTTGTTGTAGTACTGCTGCTGCTACTTGCCACGTGTACTTCTTGTAGTACTGCTGCTGCTACTTGTCACGTGTACTACTTGTAGTACTGCTGCTACTACTTGCCACGTGTACTTGTTGTAGTACTGCTGCTGCTACTTGTCACGTGTACTACTTGTAGTACTGCTGCTCCTACTTGCCACGTGTACTGCTTGTAGTACTGCTGCTCCTACTTGTCAGGTGTACTTGTTGTAGTACTGCTGCTGCTACTTGCCACGTGTACTTGTTGTAGTACTGCTGCTGCTACTTGCCACGTGTACTACTTGTAGTACTGCTGCTACTACTTGCCACGTGTACTCAGTACTGCTGCTGCTACTTGCCACGTGTACTTGTTGTAGTACTGCTGCTACTACTTGGCACGTGTACTCAGTACTGCTGCTACTACTTGCCACGTGTACTTGTTGTAGTACTGCTGCTGCTACTTGCCACATGTACTTGTTGTAGTACTGCTGCTGCTACTTGCCACGTGTACTTGTTGTAGTACTGCTGCTGCTACTTGCCACGTGTACTTGTTGTAGTACTGCTGCTGCTACTTGCCACGTGTACTACTTGTAGTACTGCTGCTCCTACTTGCCACGTGTACTGCTTGTAGTACTGCTGCTCCTACTTGTCAGGTGTACTTGTTGTAGTACTGCTGCTGCTACTTGCCACGTGTACTTGTTGTAGTACTGCTGCTGCTACTTGCCACGTGTACTACTTGTAGTACTGCTGCTACTACTTGCCACGTGTACTCAGTACTGCTGCTACTACTTGCCACATGTACTCAGTACTGCTGCTACTACTTGCCACGTGTACTTGTTGTAGTACTGCTGCTGCTACTTGCCACATGTACTCAGTACTGCTGCTACTACTTGCCACGTGTACTTGTTGTAGTACTGCTGCTGCTACTTGCCACGTGTACTTGTTGTAGTACTGCTGCTGCTACTTGCCACGTGTACTTGTTGTAGTACTGCTGCTGCTACTTGCCACATGTACTCAGTACTGCTGCTGCTACTTGCCACATGTACTCAGTACTGCTGCTGCTACTTGCCACGTGTACTTGTTGTAGTACTGCTGCTGCTACTTGCCACGTGTACTTGTTGCAGTACTGCTGCTGCTACTTGCCACGTGTACTTGTTGCAGTACTGCTGCTGCTACTTGCCACATGTACTCAGTACTGCTGCTGCTACTTGCCACGTGTACTTGTTGCAGTACTGCTGCTGCTACTTGCCACGTGTACTTGTTGCAGTACTGCTGCTGCTACTTGCTGCTGCTACTTGCCACGTGTACTTGTTGCAGTACTGCTGCTGCTACTTGCCACGTGTACTTGTTGTAGTACTGCTGCTGCTACTTGCCACGTGTACTTGTTGTAGTACTGCTGCTGCTACTTGCCACGTGTACTTGTTGTAGTACTGCTGCTGCTACTTGCCACGTGTACTTGTTGTAGTACTGCTGCTGCTACTTGCCACGTGTACTTGTTGCAGTATTGCTGCTGCTACTTGCCACGTGTACTTGTTGCAGTACTGCTGCTGCTACTTGCCACGTGTACTTGTTGTAGTACTGCTGCTGCTACTACTACTGCTCGGGGCTCTGCTGGAAAATATCTTTGCGGTCGCCGTGGAGACCATTTAAATAATGAAGTGAGAAAATAATCAGCAGAATCATCAGTCAAGTGTTTTTGATGTGAAAATAAAAACAAACGAGCGTTGGTGACGTCGTCTCAATGCTGCGAGCGGCTCGCCGTCCTGGAGAGGACCCGGACGGTGCACTCGCAACGGCTGTTTCCTACACGATTTCACCACTAAATCCACTTCTGAGAAGTTTTGAGGCGAGAAATTAAACGTGTAGATGTCGAATACTGACAGAAGCTCCACTAGTGGCGGCGGTTCCTCCTGCGGGGGGAGCTAACGAGCCGGCTCACAGACCTCTGCAGCAGCAGCGGTTTAGATGTTCGGACTGCTGTCGCTACCTGATGAAGAGACCTCTGGCTCCTGCAGAACCCTGTCTTGGCTTGTGGAACTGAATAAATAAATGAATAAACAAACAGGGGACTGGCGTTACTTTATTTTATTATTATGGCTGTTATTTTGGAGCTCTGCAGGCCTCTGTGCTGGCGGGATTGAGCAACCTTGCGATAGTCATTTCCAGTTAGTGCACAACAGCAGGTACGCACTAGTACCCGAGACGCAGCTCATGAGTTCTGCTGGTCCGGAAAGAAAACAGATTCAGGCTCACGAGGAAACATCGGATCTCTGTGACGTCTGTTAAGACGTGGAGCGGCGAGGAGATCTCCGCTGAGCCTGACAGAAAGACAGGCGTCACGGTGAGGGTCTGATACGAGGGTTCGGCGGGACACTCGAGCTGCATCTCACTCCGGGTACTTCCTTCAGTATACCAACATGCAGTACACTGCGTACTCCTTAGTGCGTTCACTTTGACAGGCCGCTGCTGTGCACTTCCCAGAGAGGACTACCCCCCCGGCACAGAGGCCGGCTGCACAGCTCCAGAAGAAAATGCTCCGAATCAGGTTCAAACTTCCATGTCATTTTCTTTGGTGTGTTGGTGCATAAATATGAATTATATAAAATAAAAGCAACAAAAAGCAAGTTCTGTAACTGTACACCAACACTGTAACGCCTGCCATAATCATAAGAATAAAATAAAGTATCGCCAGTCCCCTCTTCAGACTATGACTGTTGTAATGTATTTGAAACCTGCGTTCATGGGTTAACAGCGGCTCAGCGCGCCTCACCTCTTTTAAATCCTCCTTTGCCGCCGCTGACATCGACTGTGGTCATGAAATTTACATGAACCCCCCCGGCCCCCCCGAGTGGGAGTCTGTGAAACTGGGCTCATTTTCAGATATATGCAGATAACTGCATTATTTACAGGAAGTTATGTTATTTGGTCTTCCTTTTTGCTAACCTTCCACTCGCTCGCCGGAGAAGCACCGCTCATCTCACTGAACTAAAAGTTTCATCTCAGAGTTTTAAGCCACTCTGACCGGAGCTGATCTCATTTATTGTGTTGAGTTTATAGATATCTGGATATTTACATTCAGGGAGCCTCCAGATAAGTTTGTTTAGAGAGAAAGATTTTAAAGTAGTAAAATGCTAGATTAGTATGTATGGGGTAAGACACCCCCCCCGGTCGCTGCGCCCCTTCACGGTTGATGGTTTGTAAGTTAGATGTTATTCAGACTCTGGACAGACCCGTCAGCCAACCAGCAGCTTCACTATCAGAAAGTCTGACGTTAGAAGCTCACATGTTGGAAAGAGCATGTTTCACCTCAGACGTTCTGCTGATGAAGCTCCAGCAGCCTCATGTTTAAAAGGCTGACAAATAAATTACTTCTACAACACAGTTTATATATCTGTATTTGCACATATTAAAGTGATTTCACACCAATGGGGGGAGGGGGGGCATCTTACCCCATGTGAAAAATGACTTCTCCCTAAAAAATACGTTTGATTAAATACAAATGAATTTTTCATCTGTAGCTGTTTGTTTTACTTTAGAATATGTTGCCCTGAGCAGACAAAGAAATCTATAAAATGTTCTTTAATGGGGGGGGGGTAACCATAGCAACCACCATTTTGACATTCAAAGGTCACAGGTCAGGTGGGGAGGGGTCAGGATTACTTAAACGTTATATAAGAAAGGTCAAAGTTCATCCAGAGGTCAAAGACCAACATCAGTACATTTGACAAGAGGTCACATAGAGGTCACGTAGAGGTCATTTAAAGGTCACATGGGTGTTACATCAGAGTCAAGCAGAGGTCACGTAGGTCATGTAGAGGTCATTTAAAGGTCACATGGGTGTTACATCAGAGTCAAGCAGAGGTCACGTAGGTCATGTAGAGGTCATTTAAAGGTCACATGGGTGTTACATCAGAGTCAAGCAGAGGTCACACAGAGGTCATTTAGAGGTCATTAACAGGTAATGTGAAGGTCAGATGTAGGTCATGGCACCTTTGGCGCTGCTTTCCAGGAAGACCTTAATGTAGGAGGTGGGGACGTAGCCCTCCTCCTCCAAGTTCCTCCGTACTCTGGTCCAACCGTCACCTTTGTCCTCCTCCACCACAGAAAGTAGTTCTCCCTCCACCATGGACAGAGTGCCTTCATTCTGACCTGCAAAAGATCAGTAACCACATGTTCAGCCATACGCGTAGGAGCCATTATACATGAGGGGCACATGTTTTGTCCCCCTCACATTTTTACGGCAATTTCGGAGTTGGCTCATAACGGAGGCGGTTTGAATGACTAGTCAATCAATCAATCGCACACCGCATCAGACATGAGTAAACGGTTGAAATCATGTTGGCCTATATAAAAAACAGAAGGCAAAGGTGGTGCTGAAAAGTTAAGGGAGAAAAAAAGAGTTCGGGTGCAGCAAGTGCCTCAATAGTTTGTTTTGTGCTGCTGTTACTTACAGTCTACCTGAAGACAGCAGACTCCTGCTGCAGGGTGGCACCTTTTCACGTTCCTTTTTTAAAACTGTACTTTTATTCTTTACTCCAGTATTTTCCTTAGGCCAGTAAGCTACTCTTAAATTCTCTACATTTTCATTCATACTTCATAACTTATTCACTCTGTTTTCTAAAGCCATTAGAAATGAGCATTTAACCCCCCTAGCATTTCAGCCCCCCCGCCCAGGTTCAAAGTCGCTCCTACGCCCCTGTGTTCAGACATACCCACACAGTGGAGACCGGCCCCCCCGCGCCCTCACTGGAGACCACGCCCTCACTGGGGACCACGGCCCCCGCGACCTGGTAAACTGAGTAAGTGCAGTATAAGAAAACAGTACCTTGGAATGGGTACAGGGACTTGCAGGTGCCAATACTTGGTAATGGTTCTTCATCATCGAATTCGTCATCGAACTCGGAACTACGAGACTTAAAGTGAAGCTCTGCACTGTGGTCTTCAGTGTAGCTGCCATCAGGACTGAGCAGAGAGAGAAAAGAGCAGATATTCAGATTTTAATAGAGGCCGTCCTCACAGCTACATTGAGATTGTTATTCCGTCAACAAAAAATCCCACAATCACCAAAAGCAGAGATTCAGGAAGCATGAATATTTGGTCAGAGATCAGCGGCCTGCTGTATGCAGTTGACTTAGTGTTGTTTCACCTACTAAAGAAGGTTTGCAGCAGAGACTCTGTCAGACCTGGGCCCTGACAGGAAACACAACAAAGACTAAGATAATGATCTTTCAGAAACAATACAGAAATCAGGTTTCACACAATTTCTATTTAGACACCACTAAATTACAACACACAAAAAAACTACACTTCCATTGGCCTCAGGGCTGGACTGGTAATCTGGCATACCGGACAAATGCCCAAGGGGCCGACGCACCTTTGGGAGGGGGGGTGTAACGTAGATTATGTATTATATAAAATGGGCCAAAGACTGGCGGATGGACAGCGGCTGTCGAAAACAACCGGTTTGTTTTCTCTCGGGGCTGCAGGAGCTTCAACACCAGCTGCAGGACCCTGCGTAGTGCAGGCACCTGAAGGAGAGCTGTGGGCCCTTCCAGGCAGAGGAGGAGGCGTGAGACAGAGGAGCAGAGGGACAAAGTGACAGAGAGAGCAGGAGGAGAGTGGAGGTGAAGGGTAAGCATGGAGTAGCTCAACCTGTAGGGAGGGACGCTCATTCACACTGGGGACACTGGGGACATGTAGCCACCACTTCTTGCAAGCACTTGCAAACACAAAAATGTTTGGGAAAATGGCTTGCACCAACAAATGTTCATTAACAAATAAAAATGCTATGAAAAAGGTTTATTTGCACAGTAAGCCTGCAATGCAGTGCAAATATAGAAGAAAACTGTGTTGTCCACAAAAAGTAACTTAAGCAGCTACCGATTACTGCATTATATTATATATAGTGGGTACTGCGGGCTGGTTGCTGACGTACTGCGGTAAGCATGTCGACTCATTTCCGTTTCCGGTGCTTGTGTGTTGGTACCGTGTTGTGCTGCTCTCGCTAAATACCAGTTAAACCAGTTGTTTGATTACAGCGGCCAACTGTCCGCTAAACACTTATTCTTACAGTAATTTTGCAAAAGCACTCACAGTTCTTTCCATCTTTTAGTGACTGCTGTTCAATCTCATAGTTGTTCTAAAGTTTTGGTAACTGACGCTACAGTACTTTAGCTTAGCCGTTAGCGACTTTAGCTTAGCAGCTAGCGATGGCTTCTCCTTCTCCCTCTCTCTCCTACTTTCTCCTGCTCGGTGTGTCAGATGTTTAGTTACTCCTCTGCCTCCTTTAGCGGTAATGGTCCGTGTAATAAGTGTAGTTTATTTATAGACATGGAGGCGAGGCTCAGTGATTTAGAAGTCCGGCTCCGCACCTTGGTAGATCAGTCTTTAGCTACTGTAGCTAGCCAGTCCCCGGTAGTCGGTGCGGAACGGCCTGAGTTATCCTCTGGTAGCCGTCCTCCGGCATCTCCTGTGCAGCCAGGAAAGGGGGGCTGGGTGACTGTCCAAAGGAGGAATAGTCGTAAGCATTCAAAGTCCACGGGGCACCATCAACCTGTTCACGTTTCTAACAGATTTTCCCCACTCAGCGACACACCCGCTGAGAAACCAACTCTGATCATTGGCAGCTCCATTTTGAGAAACGTGAAGTTAGCGAAGCCAGCGGCCATAGTTAAGTGCATCCCTGGGGCCAGAGCGGGCGACACTGAGTCTTATTTGAAACTGCTGGCTAAGGATAAACGTAAATACAGTAAGATTGTTATTCACGTCGGCGGTAATGACTCCCGGTTACGCCAATCGGAGGTCACTAAGATTAATGTTGAGTCAGTGTGTACATATGCAAAAACAATGTCGGACACCGTAGTTTTCTCTGGACCCCTGCCAAATCTGACCAGTGATGACATGTATAGCCGCATGTCGTCATTCCGCCAAGTTTATTAGTGGACCAAATCCATGACAACCCAGAGTTGAGACCAGGAGGCAGAGTCGCAGTCTAACACACTTCTCTGCTCCTCCATTTCAGGAGTTACTTAGTGAAAATCCTATAGTGACGGTGTCTGTCCCCGACCATCGAAATTATTTAAAAAGGTAAACAGAAGAGGAGCTGTGCATAAAAACCTCATAAAAATTAAAACCACAAGAGCAATAGTGCAAACGAATAGGAGAGTTAAATGTGGACTCTTAAACATCAGATCTCTCTCTTCTAAAGGTGTACTAGTAAATGAACTAATATCAGATTATGATATTGATTTATTTGGTCTTACTGAAACCTGGCTGGGTGATGGAGAATATGTTAGCCTAAATGAATCCACCCCTCCCAGTCATATTAATACTCACATTCCTCGAGGCACAGGCCGAGGAGGTGGAGTTGCAGCTATCTTCGACTCTAGCCTACTAATCAGCTCTAAACCTAAACTAAATTATAACTCATTTGAAAACCTTGTTCTTAGTCTTTCGCACCCAAGTTGGAAATCACTGCAACCAATTCTCTTCGTTATAGTGTACAGTGTAGAGTTTTTGTCAACTTTAGTCCTTAAAACGGACAAAGTTATTATTGTAGGGGATTTTAATATTCATGTGGATGTTGAGAATGACAGCTTCAGTACTGCGTTTATCTCTCTGTTAGATTCCATTGGCTTCTCTCAGAGTGTTCATGAACCGACTCACTGTTTTAACCACACCCTCGACCTTGTTTTGGTGTATGGTATTGAAATTGAACATTTAGTGGTGTTCCCACAGAATCCCTCTTTATCTGACCACTGTTTGATAACTTTTGAGTTTGTATTGCTGAACTACTCGCCATTGGGCAAAAATGTCTATACAAGATGTCTGTCTGATAGTGCTGTAGCTAAATTTAAGGATGCGATTCCATCAGCTCTAAATACATTATCTAGTCACAAAGTAACGGAGGACTCCTATGCTAATTTCAGTCCCTCCCAAATCGATCATCTTGTTGATAGTGCTGCAGGCTCGCTGCGAATGACACTCGACTCTGTAGCCCCTCTAAAAAAGAAAATACTAAAACAAAGACGGTTAGCTCCATGGTATAATACTGAAACTCGCAAATTAAAGCAAATATCGCGGAAACTTGAGAGGAATTGGCGTTCCACCAAAGTGGAAAATTCGTTGAATTTGGCAAGATAGTCTTAAAACTTATAGGAAGGCCCTCCATAATGCCAGAGCAGCCTACTACTCGTCATTAATAGAGGAAAATAGGAACAACCCAAAGTTTCTTTTCAGCACTGTAGCCAGGCTGACAGAGAGTCACAGCTCTATTGAGCCAAGTATTCCCATAGCTCTCAGTAGTTACGACTTCATGAGCTTCTTTAATGATAAAATTCTAGCTATTAGAGACAAAATTCACCAAGACCTGCCCTCAACTGGCACCAACTTATCTCTTAACTCAGGAACCTTAGAAACAGCTGTAGAACCAGATATATGTTTAGACTGTTTTGCTTCCCTCAATCTTTACCAACTAACTTCAATAATTTCTTCATCTAAACCATCAACCTGCCTCTTAGACCCCATCCCAACTAGGTTGCTTAAAGATGTTTTACCCTTGGTCAGCACCTCTATACTAGATATTATTATATTGTTAACGGTGAGTCCTCCATGCATGCCAAAGTTAGTCATGGAGTTCCACAAGGATCTGTCCTCGGACCAATCCTCTTCTCTTTATATATGCTTCCTTTAGGCAATATTATCAGGAAATGTTCCATAAACTTGCATTGTTATGCAGATGATACTCAGTTATATCTATCGATCAAGCCAGATGAAACTAATCAGTTAGCTAAACTTCAAATATACCTTAGGGATGTTAAAACCTGGATGACCTGTAATTTTCTAATGTTAAACTCAGATAAAACTGAAGTTATTGTTCTGGGGCCTAAGCACCTCCGTGACGCATTATCTAAAGATATAGTTTCCCTGGATGGCATCGCCTTGGCCTCCAGCACCACTGTGAGGAATCTTGGAGTTATCTTTGATCAGGACATGTCGTTTAAGTCTCACATTAAGCAAATTTCAAGGACCGCCTTTTTTCACCTACGTAATATTGCGAAAATCAGGAACACACTGTCTAAAAATGATGCAGAAAAACTAGTCCATGCATTTGTTACTTCTAGGCTGGATTACTGCAATTCCTTATTATCAGGCTGCTCGAAAAAGTCCATTAAGACTCTTCAGCTGATCCAGAATGCTGCAGCACGTGTTCTGACAGGAACCAGGAAAAGAGATCATATTTCTCCTGTTTTAGATTCTCTGCATTGGCTTCCAGTAAAATCCAGAATAGAATTTAAAATCCTTCTTCTCACATACAAAGCTCTTAATGGTCAGGCACCATCCTATCTTAAAGAGCTCATAGTACCTTACTACCCCACCAGAGCACTGCGCTCCCAGAATGCAGGGTTACTTGTGGTTCCTAGAGTCTCCAAAAGTAGACTAGGAGCCAGAGCGTTCAGCCATCAAGCTCCTCTCCTGTGGAACCAGGTTCCAGTTTGGGTTCAGGAGGCAGACACCATCTCCACATTTAAGAGTAGGCTTAAGACTTTCCTCTTTGATAAAGCTTATAGTTAGGGCTGGCTCAGGTGAGTCCTGAACCATCCCTTAGTTATGCTGCTATAGGCCTAGACTGCCAGGGGATTTCCCATGATGCACTGAGCTCCTCTCTCCTCTACTTCCTCTCCCTCTGTATGCAACCTCATCCCATTATTGCATGTTACTAACACAACTTCTCCCCTTTCCCGTAGTCTTGTGCTTTCTCGTCCCTCTCCTCTCTCCTCCTATCACTTCCTGCAGGTTTTCTGGCTCTGGAGCTGTGGAGTCTGGATCTGTGGTTGCGGGTTGCCTGCTGCCCCCGTGTTCCTGCTCGACACCCTCTGCTGCAACGACTATTGTTACTAGTCCTATTGTTATTATTATTGTTATTATAATCATTAACATTACGATTATCATTAACACTACTA